TAAATATTACGCACTCTGTGTACTTAGAATAATATGCTATATCACCATTATAAAATAATTTGTTGAGATCCCCAAAAAAAAATAACCCAAGTCCCGAATCGTCTTTACCCAAGTCCCGAACCGTCTTGTCGCTAGTCCCGAAACGTCGTATCAGTAAGGTCCCGAAACGTCGTGGTCCCGAAACATCGTGCACCCGTATTTATAATCTCTGTGCCAAATGACGCCACCAAGCTGAACATTACTATAAAACAAGACTTGTACCGGAATAACTTTTCCTGGATTGTCTCATTTTTTAAAGTAATAAACTTGTCATTAAAAGTCAAAGTATGATTATAAAAGTTTTTATTTGACTTTCACTACCGTAAATCTGGAAATTTTTGCGTCGATTTTATTTTGCGAATTCGGGTCAAAATGCTATTCATTAATTTTTGCGAATGACCACTGCTTTGTTTGTAAACATTTCCTTATTGGTATTTATTTTTAAGAAAAATATTTTTGCGAATGCAATGAACCCGCAAATTTGCTAAAAATTTATCTACAGCAAAAATGTCCAGATTTACGGTATTTTTTTCAACAAAGTAAGTCAATCTTGAAATTTATTCATGTTCACTTTGAAGTGAACTCTATTTTGGTTTTTGCACAGGAGATAGCCTTTCAGAGGCATAGCAACAGGGGTGGGGGGCAGGGGCGGCCGAAACTGTAGTATTAAAATTGGTACTGAAAGAATTTGACACAGAGAAAAAGTTAACCTTAAATCCCCCCCCGACTTTGGGCAACTTTTCCCTTTCTTTCTTTCTCTCTCTTTTTTTTGGGGGGGGGGGAATCGGTCTCAAGTGTGCTCTAATATTTTTGCCATAAATTATAAGATAAATTATGTTACACACCCATCCCCCCCCCCCCTTTAGCCACCATTTTCTGTTGAAAATAATTAGTCTTTCAGAAAGGTTTGGAAACACATTTTTCACAGGACATCTTTTCAAAAGAAATAGACAGTATCCAAACAGATTACATTGTATACCAATTTCCTGTTTACTGCCAATTTTATTTTTAAAACTGGCTCCATTCGATAACCTTTGAATGAGTCAACCTAAACCACATGTCTTGAATTTAAATCACAATAACATTAGTAGGGGTTTTATATCTGTTTTTATGTTTTACGCAAAAAAAGAAATTAAACACATTCATATTAATAAAATACAATGTTGTACTTGTACATTTATTTGAATTTTGTAAAAAAAAAAAAAAAAGAATAAATAAGTATTTTATAGTGTTTTGTCTACAAACGTGTACCTCACCCGTGAGACACAAAAAAGCTGTGTTATAAATTTTGGAAATAACGATTTATATCAAGTTATTCCACACTTATAGAGTAATCTTTCTTTGTTCTCTCAAGTAAGTAATGTTCTATGAAAATCCATATAAATATCTATTAAATATTTAATAATCATTCGAATAAGTTAAGTTTTAAAAATTGACTTAGACGAAGGTGGGAGAATAATATTTTTGTTCGCTGTTTTGTAACGACATTTTTATGCCTTTTATCAATTAACAAAAGTACAAATAAAAAAAAAGTCCCATGCTCTTATTACGAAATAAGCAATGCAATTCTGAAAAGTGTATAATGACGATGAGCTAATCCATTGAATTTTCGCAAAGAATAATATCATGAAATGTACCAAGGACTTTTATTACAGAATGCTACATTCACAAGAGAACTCTTGTCTCAGTTCTTAATTTGTTTGTTTATTTTGACATCTTCTACAGGATGTAATGTACAACATTTGAAGGGATTACAAGGATAATTATCATTATACAGGTATTTATTTTTATGCCCCGCCATGAATATGGCCGGGGCATTTAGTGTTTGTCATGTCCGTCTTCCGTCCTTCCATCACACTTTGCGTTTAGCTCTGTTCAAAACTAAGTTTCAAAGAAACTATCCAAGATATTTTTATCAAACTTCATATGTTGATAGATATTGATGAGAGCTGCAATTGCATCAACATTTTTTGACCTTGACCTTTCCTTTGACTTTGACCTCACTTTTCTTAAATTAGTGTTTAGCTCAGTTTTGAACATACCACTCAAGATGGTGTTATCAAACTTCACATGTTGATACATACTGATGAGAGCTATTCAACTGCATCAACATTTTTTACCTTTCCTTTGGCCTTGACCTCACTTATCTTTACAGTAAAACTCAGTTATAGCGAAGTCCTGGGGACCTTTGGATTTAATTCGCTATATCCATAATTCGTTATATCCGTATAACGTATTTCTTATAACTTATATAGCGAATTTACAATATGCAAGTTAGCCTTCAAGAATTTCTACTGAATATAATAAGAAATCAATTATTACAAAACATACATTACTTGAAATAAGTAAGGTTTTGTCATAAATTGAATTTTATATACAAATACTTAGTGAAAATAAAATAAGTTCAAAGTATAAAATTTTGAGATCATGGAAAATTCGTTATGAAAGATGTGAATTACATTATTTTTAATGTCTACGGGACTCAAAATCAGTTCGCTATATCCGTAAATTCGCTATATCAGAGTTCGTTATAACCGTAAAATTTTACAAAGAATTGTTAAGAATTTTGCCGGGGACCCTGAAAAACTTCGTTATATCCGTGAATTCGCTATATCCGTGTTCGTACTAAACGAGTTTTACTGTAATTAGTATTTTGCTAAGTTTTAAAGATACCATTTGAGATATTTTTATCAAACTTAAGATGCTGTTACATATTGATGAGAGCAATTCAACTTCATCAACATTTTTTACCTTTACCTTTCCTTTGACCTTTGACCTCACTTTTCCAAAAACACTGTCAAACTTCCTATGCTGATACATACTGATGTAAGGAATTCAACTGCATCAACAATTTTGACCTTGACCTTTTATTTGACCTTGACCTCACTTTTATACAATTGTGTTTAAGTCATTTTATCAAATTATGTTTAAGTCAGTTTTAATTAAAGACTTCATTTTAGATATTTTTATCAAACTTCATATGTTGATACATAATGAGGAGAGATATGCAACTGCATTAACATTTTTGACCTTGACCTTTCCCTTGATTTTTGACCTAACTTTTTGAAAATCACTGTCAAACTTCATATGCTGATACATACTGATGTAAGCAATTCAACTGCATCAACAATTTTGACCTTGACCTTTTATTTGACCTTGACCTTTCTTTATCAAATTGTGTTTTTAAAAGTCAGTTTTAAAGAAACCGTTTATAATATAACTTCATATGCTGATACTACCAGATGAGAGCTTTTCAACTGAATCTACAGTTCTTTGACCTTGGGATTTCCTTTGGCCTTGACCTCACTTTAATTAAATTAGTGTCAAACTTCATATGCTGATACATACTAATGTAAGCACTTCAAATGCATCACTACTCAAGATAATCTGATCAAATTTCATACATTTATATACAAATTTTCATGTTGCTTTACTAATACAGTAAAACTCGTTTAGTACGAACAGGGATATTGCTAATACGTTATATCGCGACTACCAATAAGAACCTCACAGTTATCTAACTTACTACCGCTCTTTTGCGGGGGAGTCGAGAAAAGTCGAAATTTCTGGGGGCAAATGAAATTGTTTACAGTAGTGACAATCGAATGATTCAAACAATTTAATGCCGAAATCACGATGTTTTGCCAGATATTGAACTCCAAATAGTAGATTGTCAAATAAGGAAAGTTTAGAATATTTTATCTGGTTAAAAATGTGAAGATTTTCAATGAAAATTTAACGAGAAGAGTCTGCTTAATCAAAAATATAGTTAAAAATGTGACAATTTAGGATTGGCTCCTCTCAAAAATATATTAAGCTGGTTCAGCGATTGTTTCGCGAGGTATTCCACCAGGATTTTTTACTTATCTGTCCTTATAAATGCTACAATGATCGATCTTGCATTGTATTGAATAGCACATTGCCCCCACCCAACAGACGATTCTTACCTCCTTTGCGAAAGAGTTCCGCTAAGTTTAGTAATCGCGATATCAAGTATTCATGGTTGTAACGAAGTCATCTTAGATTCCCAGCTGTATTAATTTAATGAATTTCGTATACGGTTATAACAAGTTACAGATATAGCAAAGTAATTTCATAAGTCCCAGCGACTTCGTAGTAACCGTGTTTTACTGTATACCCTTGGTGGGGAATTCATGTCCTCCGGACATATTTCTAGTTACCTTTATATCTAACAGGTTTGTGACAATCGGAAAGTAAATTAAGAAATGTGTTACAGTTTTGAGAGTATCAGACAACTTTTTTAAACCATACTACTTGTATAACATTAGTCTTTGAGACATTGAAGCTATACAGAAATATTTACTCATTGTACTTAGTTATACCCCCCACAAACGAATTTTGGGGGGTATATAGGAATCACCTTGTCCGTCTGTCTAGCTGTCTGTCCAGCTGTCCGTCCGTCCGTCTGTCTGTGCAAACGTGTCCGGTCCATATCTTTCTTACAGAGGGACATTAGAATCTACTACTCCACACAAAGATTGCCCATGACCTAAGGGTGTGTCCTAACCTTGACCCAAGGTCATTTGGGGAAGTTCAAGGTCACTGGAAGAAAAATTTCATAATTCACGTCCGGTCCATGTCTTTCTTATGGATAAACTTGGTAGGTTCTCATTTCACTCGAAGATTGCCCGTAATCCAAGGGTGTGTAATGATCTTTTGGGGAAGTTCAAGATCACGAAGAAAAATTTCATAATTTGTGTCCAGTCCATATCTTTCTTATGGATTAACTTGGTAGGTTCTCATTTCACACAAAGATTGCCCATAACCCAAGGGTGTGTCATGACCTTAACCCAAGGTCATTTGGGGAAGTTCAAGGTCACTGGAAGAAAAATTTCATAATTTGTGTCCAGTCCATATCTTTCTTATGGAAAAACTTACCTCTGAAAAACCAAGCGGGGGGTATTTTGTCCCGTTTGGACAGTTCTAGTTTGTTTTGACAGGTCTCCCAGGATGTGTTGTTTAACTATGTAAAGCTAAAGAGGCTGAAGAAACCACCATTTTGACAGGTATAAAAAATCTTTTAATTTTTAGTTCACCTGAGCCGAAGACTCCAGTGAGCTTTTCTGATCACATTTTGTCTGGGACCGTCTGTCTGTCTGTAAACTTTTCAAATTTTTGACTTCTTCTCAAGAACCGCTGGACCAACTTCAACCAAACTTGCCACAAGGCATCCTTGAGTGAAGGGGATTAAGTTTCTTCAAAATAAGGCCCACGCCCTGATCCAAGGGGAGATAATTGGGAATTAAGGAAAATTTGGTGGCATGTTTTAAAAATCTACTTCTTAAAAACCACTGTGCCAGGAAAGATGAAACTTCCCTTCATTTAAAACATCCTAAGGTAGTGTAGATTCAAGTTTGTTCAAATCATGACCCCGGAGATAGGGTGGGGCCAAAATGGCCGACCAAGTTTTACATAGAAATATATAGGAAAATTCTTTAAAAATCTTCTTCTCAAGAATGACAAAGCCATAATTCATCATATTTATATGGTAGCATCCTCAGGTTGTGCAGATTCAAGTTTGTTCAAATCAAGACCCCTGGAGGTAGGGCGGGGCCAAAATGGCCGACCAAAGTTTTACATAGAAATAGATAGGAAAATTCTCATCTTCTCAAGAATAGCAAAGCCATGATTGATTATGGGACTACTTTTGGATTTCACCTTTTCACTAATAAACCAATTTCTATTTTTTCCTAAGCCATAGTGCTCAGGTGAGCGATGTGGCCCATGGGCCTCTTGTTTAATATTAAGGGTTTGTTATTTAAAAGTCTTGACAAAATTCAGGTCTACATTTTCATGAATAATCTAAAATATACCATACAATAACATTAATTTTCAAGACATTGAAGCTATACAGAAATATTTACTCATTGTACTGTATTTATTTTGACAGGTCTCCCAGGGTGTGCTGTTTAAGTATGTAAAGCTAAAGAAGAGGAAGAAATCACCATTTTGACAGGTTTAACTAATGCCTAAATTTGGTTTTTTAGCTTACCTGAGCCGAAGGCTCAAGTGAGCTTTTCTGATCACATTTTGTCCGGCGTCCGTCTGTCTGTAAACTTCTCATATTTTCGACTTCTTTTCAAGAACCACTGGGCCAATTTCAAACAAACTTGGCACACAGTTTCCTTGGATGAAGGGGGATTCAAATTTTTGAAATGAAAGGCCAAGCCCTCTTCCAAGGTTAGATAATTATGAATTAGCGAAAAATTAATTGCATCTTTTAAAAATCTTCCTCTCCAAAACCATTAGGCCAGGAAAGATGAAACTCATGTTGAAGCATCCTCAGGTAGTGTAGATTCAAGTTTGTTCAAATCAAGATCCCCAGGGGTAGGGCGAGGCCATAATTGATGATTAAAATTTTACATAGGAATGAATACATTGGAAAATCAATTTTTTTAAAACTCTTCTTTTTAAGAACAATAAAGCCATGATTGGTCATATCTTTATGTAAGCATCCTTGCGTAGTGTTGATTCAAGTTTGTTCAAGTCATGAATGTGAAGTAGGGTGTGGGTAAGGTGGGCCACTATTGGAAATCTATAAATATCAAGGAATTTTTTTCCCAAGAACAGAAAAGCAATGTTTAATCATATAGATATGGAGGCATATCCTCAGGTAGTACAAAGTCATACTGGTTCAAATGAGGGCTATCACGGTTAGGGCTAGGCCACAATGGGAAGGGGGGGGGTCAAATGAATAAATAGGGAAAAATCAACTCCTCAAAAACAGAAATGGCATTTGTTGTATGGAAGCATCATCGGGTAGTTGGTTGTTTAAAATTTCAGATCCCCCCATCTAAACTACTCAATACTGAGTGATTTCTGCTTTTATTTCCTAGCCATAGGTCTCAGGTGAGCGATGTGGCCCATGGGCCTCTTGTTTGATATAAGGGGTTGGTATTTTAAAGACTTGACAAAATCCAGGTCTACATTTCCATGAGTAATCTAAAATATACCATACAATAACATTAGTTTTCAAGACATTGAAGCTATACAGAAATATTTACTCATTGTACTGTGTTGATTTTGACAGGTCTCCCAGGATGTGCTGTTGAAGTATGTAAAGCTAAAGAAGAGGAAGAAGTCACCATTTTAACAGGTTTAACTAATGCCTAAATTTAGTTTTTAGCTCACCTGAGCCGAAGGCTCAAGTGAGCTTTTCTGATCACATTGTGTCCGTCGTCCGTCCGTCTGTCCGTGTTTACGAGAGTGCATTTATTGGGTATTTTTCATGCCAAGATTGTACTTATTGGGTACTTTTTGCTTATTGGGTATACCCAATAAGAAGTGTCGCTGAATATGCTTAAAACACCCTAATTGGGTATTTGCAGGTTAGTACCCAACAAAACTTGGACACGACGATTTGTCCAAAAAAGTGTCCAAAAAAATTGCTTTCACGGACACACCGTGTTTTGTTGTTTCAGTTTTACATTCGGAACTCTAAATTCTCGAGAGTTCCGAAAATCAACTTCCGTTGATCCTGATCATAACAACGTTTGTTTTCATGGAAAAAAAATACGGCGACTAAGAAACACTTAATGTCAACAAGATTTTCTGATTGACAAGAGAAAAGGTAAGTTTATTCGATTAATATTTATCCATTGCTGGGTTCTTGTTTAAGGAAAATAGATTTTAATGTAATTTTGAAAATTTTGTGCACAAAATTAAAATAGATATATCGGAACAATTAATCCTAAGTTGCACTTGTTTGTATTTTGAATTTTCTCTGTCGTTTAACTCTCTCGAGGGCGAGAAGTATTTAGTATATGATCGTATATTGTTAGATAATCTTTAAGAAATCGAAAGTGTTTATTATTTAATTTTATATCATAACCAACTAAGTTTGTTCTGACAATGTATATTGGAAAGGGAAATGAAAATTTTAACAATCGTGTGTTCATAAATCAGCTGTAAATTATCGGTTCATGTAGACAGTATTACAATCGCAAAATAAGCCGAGATGATGATAAATGGGATAATTGACAACAACTAAATTATTGTTTGTAAGTTTATCTCATCTGATATGTAACTTAAGAGATTCATTGTATTACTGAAAAACTCTTAGTCAAAACAGTGCTTCTTTCTGTCTTTGATTTTGAGTGTCTGCTTTATTTTGATTTTTTAAAAATTATTGTGTTTGTCATTTGTTTTAATTAATTTAAAAGAAGAATGAAATTGATATAGGGCTACTATAACTATTTCACATGATGATGAGTGTGTAATTAGCATCGCGCTACACCCGGGGTTTCCATTTTTGAGGATGGGGCTAGTGGTTTTCTGCACTGAGGAATCCCCTTGGGCTATTAGGAATTTTAAAATACACATGTAGTACATGAAAAGCACCACCGGTATTTTCACTCTTTTTTGCTATGAAATTCCCTAATATGGAAATATTCCAGACAGCATGCTCATAATATCCATAAATCTCCACAACTGCATCAATTTTACAGTACTACAAGACTGATTTACTTAAAAACGATCTTTTATTTCCTAATTTGAATTCCTTTGTTTAATATAGCAAATTAGCAATATTTGCTTGTACATATATGCCTCACAGATATTTCATTATTCAATTATTTACTACCACTCAATCAGCTCAATGATAAGTGTCATGCAATTATGTAGCTTTTTTAAAGCCATATATAGCGTAACTGATCAAAAAATATATTTTTGAAATATAAAAAATTAAGTAAAGAAATATAGTTAATACATTTAAATTAAAGCTTTTCATACAATTCGGAGCACGGAGAACGCCTCGTTTTATCTAATAATACGATTTTATCTTCTCTGTAATGTGTTATTTAAATCTTTTGTATTTTCTTCCAAGTCGGAGAAAATTCCGAGAATCTAAATTAAATTTTGATATCTTTATAACGCAATTGACTTAGATTTTGTAATTTATGGAAAATTTCTATCTTTATCATGTTTATATAAAGTAATGATACAAATAATAAGTTCTTATAGTTTTAGTCTAATAATTTTCATTGTACATACGCCATATATGGCTTTAAATGATTCAAGATGAAAACAGAATGATTTTTGCTTCGATTTAATTAGACGAACTAGACTAAAGTGAATGACCAGAAAAGGAATATTTAAATTTTTTTTTTCATTTTTTTAAAATCATTAATTTATATATGATTAAATTTTACTAGCAAAAATTAAATTAAACTTTAATTTTAAAAAGAATCATCTGTAGTTAATACCCTGACTTTTTTCAGAAAAAACTTTTTTCAATGTTACTTTTTAATTTTTGCCTCTATATTTGGGCTTGTCACTTTTTACTCGGGGATAGTAACTTTATTGCCACCAAGCTATGGATTAGTACTTGATTTCCTTTATTGCACAGCGATGACTATGATTTAATGGCACAAAAAGCTAATAGGTTTACGTATATGAATTTATATGATTAATGCTTACTTGTGATTTTAGGATAACTGGAGATAATGATTCCTTTTTTCCATTGATATTACATAAATATTTTCCTAAGTATTATGTAACAATAAATTGGTTTAGATTTTTTTGATAAGAGTAGATTTCAATATGTAACAGGTCAAACAGGAACTTCAATTGGGAACGTAGCAGACAACACTCTCATCAGAAGATGACCCTCAGAAATAGGACAATTGTAAGTAATCAGTAAAATGAACAGGAATACTTCATGCCAACCATAAAATTTTAGAGACATTTTCGCTTTTTAAATTAGAAGAGATAGAGGGAAAAACTTGTACATGCTACATAATTACTAGGCAACCAACCTTTAACTACAGGAATGCTTTTGGTATGTGCAATACAGCTACATAAAACCTCTTTAGTATTCATGTTAAAGACCCAATTTTTTTACCGTACGGTTACCTGAGGAGGGGGAGTGGTCTTAGTAATAGTGGTGTTATTTACCTGGAGACCCCCAATACCCAAGATGTCAAAAATCTATATACACGTAGCATTACACATGAAGTCTGTGTCTGGTGATCAGGGTCAATATTCCGTGTTTCGTGTCTAAATTTGAGTGAAACTACTTGAAATAATTGAAATATTTCAATAAATTAAAAAAAAAATACTTTCAGTGATATATAATGAAGAAAAAAATTATATACAGAAATATCGTTTTTATATTTAAAAAAAAAATGACAAATTAAAGAAAAGAACACAGTGTAGAAATACAAAGTAAACATATCTTTTTTAATTAAACTTGTGTAAATATCAAAATTTAAAAAAAAAAAAAATATTCCATTCATAGGTAGGCCTATCCGTCGTGTGAACATATACTATGTCCCGTACCACGATAGGAATATTGCCTACGTTCTGATCAACAATAGTGTCAAAAATATTCCCTATTTCCGGGTGTTCGTGTGTTTAATTTTTTTTATTGTTTGCAAGATTTCTTTTATACTTTTAAGAATTGATCTTTGGCTGTATATATTCACTTTTTAATTTCGAATATTGGGTATTGACAGATGTAAGGAAATTCGAACTAAAAGTTACAATCTCGAAACTCCTAGCTGTTTTCATTTCAGAACTTTACAACAGAACATGGTATAGATTGTATTCATATATACGTAGATAAAACATAGGATAAATGATTTTTTTTATCCGTGCCGTTTGTGCTAAATATCTTTTCTTATTTATCATATTGCAATTTTAATCGGCAATTAGCGTTTCTGTGCACGGACTGGTCTAAATTCTACAGAGCAGATATCTTGGACGACATATCGCCTAAAATACAATATAGCCGTTGAGATTAAAAGCAAATATTTTATGAAGTCATGTTTTAATTATCTACTCTCAATTGTTTTTAAAATAAAATTTTACCAAGACTCTTTTTTTAACCCCCGTGTATACAAGGCGGCTACATAAAAGTGTTTAATGCGTGACCAGGCAATCGTTTTCAAAGGACACAAACTCAGACTATCAGTTGGCACGGGTAGCTGACCTGTCAATCAAATCAGAAGCTATTGTTTTTTTAATGATTGACAGGCGGTAAATTATTGATCTTGAATCAGGTAGATTTTGGGGGCGTTAACATAAAATTGGGTGTTTAAGTTTGAGAAAGTACCTTAGTATTTTTTCTAGTGTTTGCCAACATTTTCATGCACACTGTTTGCTTGTTTGTAATATCATTTTATTTTTAATTAAATTCTTCAGATGCCCTTTACCTTTGCCAGTTTTGAATCATTTGTTTTAAGGGCATCTGAGGGTTGGTTCCAGAACTTAATTAATTGTAAAGTAAATACTGGGGTACTATACGGTCATAGGTTATGTTATACATGTATAACATTTTGTTCTGATAGAGGTGGCATACAGAAAAAGAAACAATACTTAGTCTAGATATCACTTCAAAGGAATAAAACAGCCTCATCTTGTAGGTGTAATTAATTTAAGGATCACTACTTCATGTCTGATGTGCTGAAAGTTATTCATAATCTGTTTGACTGTAACTTTTCATATTTTCAACTTCTATCCAGCTTAGTCAATTTTAATTAGATTTTGTGCAAAGCATACCCCAGGGATGGAGTGTCAAGTGTATCTCTGTCCCTGTCAATATAATTTCAAAGCAGTTTGGGTCAATTTTAAATCCTCTGAGCAGAACCATTGGGCTAAAAACAATACTAATGTAAAAGCTTTATCATTAATTTTAGAGATGTTTTTGAAGATTATGTACCCCTAATGTACTGATAATGTTACATTAGAAGTCTAAAAATTGCAAGGAATAAGTTTAAAATATTTTAAAATCTCCTTCTTAACAATCAGAAACTAACATACTGTCTAATTAATATGGAACATCGTTTTGTGTGTTGAATGATGATTCCATTTTGAAAAAAATTGTGGCGGATGGGGGTAGGATGAAGATGCAATTAAACATAGAAGAAAAAAAAGAGTTGATAGAATTTAGTTTTTTCATCCATTTTATTTATTAATCCATATTTCTGAATAAGAAATATACTTCTACTTCTTGGTTGGGTTTAGTCAACATAAAGGGTGATCTTGCTGTTGTCAAGAAAAGCATGTTATATACGGCAAAGAAATGCCTTTATCTAATTGCAGAATGAATAAAATGGACAGAGGCAGAACTGAATGAGATGCATGAAATGAGGAATA